AGTTGTCCATAAGCTCAATACTGTGTACTGGAAGGGCTGCTCCATGAGGATTAGGTTACAGCTTCTCTGCTGCGTTATAACATCTTAACTTACAACTCTCGGCGTACTCCGGCCCCTTTTTACATGCTTGCTCGGGTTGCATCTTTCCTCCCTTGCTAAATCTTCATAGTACCGGTATATTGGTAAAAGACACAAGACACCTTTTGAATCACCAGGGCRYWCCAAAGATCKACCTTCATGATAATTCTCAGGCGCCTCGAACAACCATCTGGTTGTCTTTGTAGTATCAGGTGGAAGATCACTAGGAGTCGCAATAGCATGAGGACTGTATTATTGCTCGTCCGGAGTGGTTATATTCTGCGGTTTCATGGAACATATGTTTAGTGAGTATGCTGACCCTTGGGTTGATTAATGTGGCAGCAACTGTCATAATACAGTTAGGTATCACAGAGAGAATATCAGACAGTTGCAGCAGCTGGGGTAGTGCCCGTTAAGAGAAAACCAAAAAAACTGATCCAGAATCTGGACGTTTTTGTGTAGATGTGCAGAAAGTCGCAACCCCCCTAAGTGCACAACACCCGGGCTCCGCATGACTACAACAAAGACCCTGGCTGCGCCACCACGCGTAGCGTGGTCTAACAGTTTTTGGGAAAAGACCCCATCGCCATTCTGGAAAGACTGCTGACCGTGTTTCGACATGGCTGGCGGCTGGAAAAGCCTGCACCAGAAACGAGCAGTTGTTTTGCAAAGTCCCCTCGGGCAGTTGTTTACACTCAAAAAAAAAAAAAAAACAGACCATAACGGGGCAGAACCATCCCCTATATTGCTTTTGCACTCCCTCAAAAAATTTTTACCCTTAAAAAAAAAAACTTTGGCCCGTGAGAATTTAAAAAAAAAAAAAAAAAAAAAAAAAAAAAAAAAAAAACTTTTCACTCCTTAGGGTCTCTTTAGACACTCCTACGAATGCCAGTTTTTAGGAATGCAGTGTTGTTACACCCATTCCTAAAAGCTACTTCCTGAAAAAACAAGTGAAAACAGCGTTACGCCTACTCCTAAAAAAATTTGGAATCCCCAGCCAAAAAGTACCCAAAAAATAAAGCTCCTCGCGAGGAGCTTTAAAATTCGAGAGGAAGTCCTTCGGGACATCCGTTAAAATTGGAACGATACAGAGAAGGGTGATTAGCATGGCCCCTGCGCAAGGATGACACGCATAAATCGAGAAAAATTCGAGAGGAACAAGGTGTCCCTGCGGAGAGGGCATCCTCCGAAGTTGAACCCTGGTGGCACCCTATTGGCTGAAACCCTGACCCTAAACAATGTTTTTCAAGGAATGCGTGTAACGGCAACGAAACAATTCCTAAAATTATTTTAGGACTGGTCCTAAACCTTTTAGGATACCTTTAGGAGTGTCTAGCGAGCCCCTTGGGCACGAACATTATTTCGTAGGCAGAATGACTTCTGTTTTTTTTTTTTCTCTGATGGGGCAGAATATAGTCCGCATCGCTGATCGTTTTCAGAATTCTTCGTCACCGGAAACGAGGACTAAAAATCGTCCAACTGTGGTCCCCAACATTATTTCGTAGGCAGGGGCAGAACATAGTCTGCACGTTATTTCGTAGGCAGAATGACTTCTGTTTTCTGTTTCTCTGATGGGGCAGAGTATAGTCTGCATCGCTGATCTTTTTCAGAATTCTTCGTCGCGGAAATGAGGACTAAAAATCGTCCAAATTGTGGTACTCATCCCCCGGGGCCAAGTCCCACTAGCAGTGTTGAGTTCCCTCAACACCTGAACCCCGGCCAGTCTAAACCCCTCCACACAGCCTCACTAATTCTCCTGAGAACGACCCTTCATTAGCAATGGACACAGTCAGAGAAGAACAAATAGAATGTCCAACCATCGGACACAGCCAGAAGTACAAAAAAAAGACAATGTAGAACCACATCAGCTACACCCGACGCCAGGTCCCACTTGGCCAGATCCTCCGTATCTGGCCGTGGATCTTCATAATCTACGGTCAGCAATCAAGAATCGGCGTAAGTGATACTTGGGCCCCCAGTCATCCACTGTCGTTCCAAGAACCAAAAAAGGGAAACCTTCTCCTAAGTCACCTTTTTAGTTTGAAATATAGGCAAGAAAAAGACAAAGCGGTGCCTGTTAGCGGGGAGTTGAAACTGTGGCTTTTTTGAAGTGGCACGACTGCAGATTTAGCTGTGGCTTTTTTTGCCCTGTTTCGAGAACTGCTGAAGTTGCCTATTCCAAACGCTACCGTCTTCCCCCGAACATAGCGCACCGTGAAATTGAACGTATACAAGCTATATGGTCTGGTTACAGCCAAATTGAGGGTGCGTTGTGTTCGGGGGAAGACGGTAGGTGTGACCCAGCAGCCGTTCCCCCGCCAAATAAAAAGACGATCCTTGGGTATAGACTTCACACCCTGCTATACTGCTGCCTTTAGGGCTGCGGACAGAAGACAGACTCCACCACACCCTGCTACACCGCTGCTGCCTTTAGGGCTGCGGACAGAATACAGACTCCACCACAGCCTGCTATACGGCTGCCTTCAGGGCTGCGGACAGAATACAGACTCCACCACAGCCTGCTATACCGCTGCATTTAGGGCTGCGGACAGAGTACAGACTCCACACCCTGGTATACCGGTGCCTTTAGGGCTGCGAACAGAATACACAAGGGACTTCTTTATATTTCTTTACTCCCCCCTCCCTCACCCTCCTCCATCCCGCCCTTCACCCCCAAATCAGCAAATTCGTCTCAGGATGACAATTCTCTTAAAACGTCAAGGAAAGCCATAACCCACTTTCCAAAAGTAACGAAAGCGTGCATATAACGGGTCAAAAATCGCGAGAAATAGTAAAAGCCGCATTCATACTTCACTCAATCAGCTTGGCGGTACAGTCTCGAACCATTTAATTGCGTTTAAGCACAAATTGAGAATAATAACCAAAGTGCATCTATAGTAATCAGCGAGAACAGACTCTGACACCAATCAAGTCCATCTCGCTCAGTTCCGTCAATCACGTCTACTTCTTCCAATACTCTTTGCAGACAAAAGAACCGACCTTCAAAGACATCGGACTAGCCTTATTCGTTCGCATAGAATGCAATAATTAATTACAGTAACAAACAATTAAGAACATTTCAGATTAAGTAACATAAAATACGTAAGAAACGAGCCCTATCTAGCACCTGGGTTTTCTGCACAACATACCTAACACCTTATTTACTCGCATTAAAACCAATTCGCCCTCTCCGTCCTTAAATAACTGTTTAAAAAAAATCGAATTTTTTCATTTTTAAATAGAAAAAAACTCAAACGTCATCTGATGTAACCACCCGTAACGAAAGAAAACGAATTCCGACAACCAGAACTAACCCCGAAACTTCTTCGCTATCACTGGAAAACTCCCGACCCACTGGGGAAACCTACCAAGGACCGACGAATGGACCCCCGCCCGCACATGACGGGACACGTCCCGACGGCCACGTAACTAGACTCTTGTATCCCAACCCCGACGTAATTAGACTCTTGTATCCCGACGGCGATGTCATAAGATTCGTCATCTCATCATAGAGCATCTGTGTATTCCAACGGCGAAGCAGTTGAAGCCCAGCTCGTCACCAGAACAGTCACCAGAACAGTCACCAGAACAGTCACCAGAACAGGACATCTCGTTGTCAGCTTCTTCCACCCACGCTGTGTGGACACCAGCACGGTATAATTGCAACACCCTTTGAAAACTCGACCGTCAACACGATCAACTTTCCCCCGTCCCCCTCGTCGCGGACTTCCATTCTCCTCTCTTCTTCCAAGCACCACCGCGAGCAGTATATCATTGCAAACACCCAGTTGAAAACTCCAGCTTAAACACGAACCACACTTCTCCTCCGTTCTCCTGTCCAACCTCCCTCCCTCCTTCTCTTCCAACTACCATACCTTGTGTCCGGCTTTTCCGCTTCTTTTCTCCGGCCAATCCGCCCAAAACTGGAAATTCATGCTTTCAGCTTCTTCCATCCACGCTGGGCACGAGCGGTGTCGTTGCGACACCCCGTTCGAACTCGAGCTCTAATACGAACAACTCTCCTCGGACCTCCTTTCCAACCTCTAATTAAATCGGTTATCATCTTCTCCTGCCAATCCGCCCACACAAGGAGCACATAACGGGGCGTACCTTTAAGCACCTCCGCATAGACAGACCGCGACACACACTGCTTGCTTACAGTCACGGAACAGGAAACCTGATAAAAATATGTCGCCTCTTCACCGATCGCCTGGACGAGCGAAATAAGAGAAAAAAGAAAATCCTGTCTGCGCCAAGTTCGAATCCCCGTAGACCGGAATCACGCCTAAGGATCCGCGCGCACAAACTGAAAACACAACTGCGGTTGCTCAATACCTATCGAAACCTTCGTTACCATCCACTGCCCACCCCTCTCTCTCTCTCTCTCTCTCTCTCTCTCTCTCTCTCTCTCTCTCTCTCTCNTCTCTCTCTCTCTCTCTCTCTCTCTCTCTCTCTCTCTCTCTCTCTCTCTCTCTCTCTCTCTCTCTCTCTCTGTGTGTGTGTGTGTGTGTGTGCGTTCAAGCACCACAACCATCTCGGAATCTTATTGTCCCTCACTTGTTTTCTCTCTCTATACGTCGGGGCGTGCTCTATGAAAACGCCTTCTAAAAACTGCAATGACAAGTCAACTTGGGACTCTCTCTCTCTCACTCCCAACCCGTCTTGAATACATCCACTGCATGTCTGACACGTGGCTACGACACCGCTCAAAAACTCCCACAATCCAGACGGACAAACGCTGAGGTTTTGGTTCACGTGGCAAACCGGTCTCCCTCCTCCCTCAAGCTCCAGTTTCACAAACTTAGGGGGGAGTCGTTACAGACGGCTGATCGGCCTTCCAAAGGCCAATGCCAGAACCGAGAGACGGTCTGAGAGCACGCAATGGACCGTCCACGCGTTCCATCGCCGAGCCTCCGAAATGAGCTCTGGAAGAAGTAGCAGCGCTGCACCGCCAAGGGAGCGCAACGGCTAGAAAGTGCAGCGGAGGGTAGCCTGCTCGGTGGAGGCGCACCGAGAGGCTGGGGGCGAAGAAGAATTGAAGACAACCGCCCCACAGACGGATAGACACCGAGAAAGGAACCTTGGGAGAAGGACACGGGCAAGTGCAGTAAGACGAGGTAAACAGAAACGACGAAGCCGCCGAGAGACAGCCAGAGGAGCATTAAGAGAAGACAAAACAACTCTCAGTGAGGCACCTGGACAGAGAACCGACATGTCCACAACAACATTGGTTCGGGATATATCAACATATAATTCAGTCGGCAATCACACTTGCCGACAGAGCACAAGCTCAAAGACTTCTACTTGACAGACATTCCCATCCGATTAGTCCTTCCGTCACGGGTAGTGCAGGACGACTCGTGGGCCGCTACCGAAAAGTGACCACTTTCAACCCCCTCTCTCTCTCTCTCTCTCTCGCTGTCTGTCCGCATTCACCCTCCATCCGGGAGGAAGGAGACCGATCTGATACGTGCACACGAAGCATCAAGTGGAGGTGTCAATCGACGGTCAAACTAACGAAGAGATACAGGCGGCGCCGCACGTAATGAACGAGTAAGACTATCACAACGCAGAGGACCCAATAAGGGAGACGCACCGAAGATGCACGAACGAAGTATAGTGCGAGTAAGAACGAATCAAATGGACGTTACTCAGAAAAACAGTACAAAAAGGAAAATAAACTGGTAACCGCAAGAATCGAAGTCCTCCGTAACAGGGGACGGCAACCTGAAATCCTAAGAAAAGCACACAGGCGTGACGAGAAAACAGCCACCAGGTGGGGAGGTGGCGAACAGTACAGGTCTAACGTGACGTACAGGACGGCAAAGCACGCTCGGAGAACACCGAACCCGCAACCTCTCGAAGTGAGAAAAGCGAGAAGAGAGAGAGAGAGAGAGAGAGAGAGAGAGAGAGAGAGAGAGAGAGAGAGAGAGCGGGGGAGGAGGGGGCCATCGCTGACATCCCCCTCGCTCGGTAAGCGATCAGGACATTATTACTGAGATGAAATGAAGTTGAACATGGCGGCGAGGAGGTAGAAATTTTTGACACGATTGCATACACATGGCGCCATGTAGTGTAGAGAGCAAAAATACATAGAGAACGGAACAAGTGCAATTACTTAATCAATCGACAAGTCAATCTATTACTCAGTTAGTCGTAATCCTAAACAACAATTTCGTCCAATTGTTCGCTCGCGCAGCCCCTAGGGCGCAGGCATGAGCTTATTCACTTCGTTAGAGTAATCAGAGATGATTTTGACAGTGGTGTTTATATCTCGCGAATAGTACACTCCCCAGCCGCTGAAGAACCCTTCACTATCCTCGAGCGCCCAGAACATAGTTCCACCGAGTCGCTTCTGCTTCATAGCCGCCAGAGACTCTCTGAACGCAACGGTAAAGAACCTATCTCTTTGCTCCCGTTCATATTTCCCCCAACCAAATTCTTCCAGCAGCATAGGCTTGTTCAGCCGCACACAGTCGTCCACGTGCGCCTTAATCCAGCTAGCGGTAAATATCATCTGATTGTCGAAAGTCGTAAAATTCCACAGCTGAGGGTAAATGTGCACCGTGGTGAAATCAAAGTGCGAAATGGCGGTTTCTCTCAAGAAGTCATTACCTTGATTGGCAGGCCAATCTACAGCAGGATTAAACACCCATCTCGTCCGGTCGCTCTGTCCATAGAACCCTTCGACCCCACTTGTCAGCATGTGCTGCTTATCCAGCGACTTAATGTACTCCCCCATTTCTGCCAACCAATTCACCAGCGTATTTCCCGAAGTATCAGACACGCAGCGTGGCTCATTAAACACCTCCCAAGCGAAGATGGTTGGGTCCTCTCTGTACAGACGCCTGTTGACAGTGTTCCTCCGCATCACGACCTTCTCCGCCATCAGCTTAAACCACTGCTTCGCCAACGGCTCGCGGAACATGTCGTCCGGAATGATGCTGCTCTTTTGCGTCGCTTGCTTTAGCCAGTCGCCGTATTGGGCTTTGCTCTCCCAATTATTGCCGAAAACAGCCAGGATGCGAACACCCAACTTCGACGCCTGGTCTACCAGATAGTCTAATGCCACGAGGATGGTCTCGTTGAAGGTGGTTCCAGATGGCTGCACATACGGAAAGCGGGATCCATCGTTACACGTCATCATTCGCACGACGGTCAATCCCATCGACCGCGCCTGCTTCAGAATGTTGACGGCGCGTGCCCTTCCCGCCGGCGTCAGACAGTTGTACATTAGGTCGCGCGTGTTCCATCCACTCACAAGGAAGTCCTTCCCATCGGGTGTTTGAAATATCAAACCGTTGCGCTTAACGATTCCCCAGTGCTTGCGAGGATTATACGGACGGCGCTGCGCCTTGCTCACACGACGAATAATCCTGCCGTCGTCATATGGATCCTGCTCCCGCTGCATGCTAGCGGCCATTCCCACGAAGAGAAAGCCGACAAGGAGCACCAGGATGGTGCGCCCAACACGCGGCGCGATCGCCGCCATAGTTGTTCGCTTCTCAGTCCCTACCAAACAAAGCGACACGATGATCGAGAAGACCACAGCTGTTGTACAAAACCACCGCTAGCTACGCAGACATTGACGACTTATTCTACACTCAGCACCGGTCTGTTCCCGTTTGAAAGCCCAGAATTCTCTCTCTCTCTCTCTCTCTCTCTCTCTCTCTCTCTCTCTCTCTCTCTCTCTCTCTCTCTCT